GGGTGAGAGGTCGCATTGCATCTAACCGTAATGCATTGCGTCAGGGTCAGAATGCGTTGCTTTAAGCCAGCACTTTAAGCAAGTCGAAAGCACCCAATGACCGGAGTGGAGAAACAAACTGAAACGCGGACTTAATACAGAGGACTAATGACAACAACCAGAAACAGTTGATCACATGGGGATCCCACACGAGGTTAACAAGGGGGCGTGGCACACGGATGGAGCGGTCGATCGGGGCAGGACAGGCGTAATGTTGGGATAACATCTCTTTCGTTTTGGAAGCCATTAAGGAAAAAATGCTCTTGTTTTATCCTGTTCATTTTGTGTTTAAATGCTAAAAAAAAAAAACACATTCAGGTGTAATTTTGGGCGGCCGGTAACCAATTAATTGGTTTTCCATTATTTCTTATGGGAGAAATTCGATCAGATTCGTTCTGGAGTCCGGAACGGATTAAGTTCGAGAACCGAGGTACCACTGTACCAGATAGAACTGCTGAATTAGCCCCCCAATGTATTCCTCTTAGATAGGTACAGTGACAGGCTTTTTCATTCACAGATGTATGTTGAGTCTGTCTTGGACAGCTGTGTATCGTAATCAGGTTCTGGTTTTATAGCCAAGAGATTAGAGTATGCTTATTGTAACACTATAGTCGGCTTTTCTGTGGGAGAGCACTAGCTGTCTGCTTGTGGGAAGTTTTCCAGCCATTGGGGCAATTTTTTGCATGGAATAGGCCATAGGAATTTCATCCCTTATACTCATATGATCAGCACACATACATGAAGATGAACAGCTTTAAAAGCTATTTTTGGTGTCAATACCTCTGGTTTTTGCTATGAGATCCTGGCTGCATTTTAAACCCCCCCCTAATGGAGGCTTTGGACTTTGACCAATAGAAAGCTGTGGTGCTACTGTCCATGCTGTTTGAGCCATATTAACAAGGAATGGTCTATTCTGTGCCTTGTTATTGCGGGAAAAACAAGAACTTGAATACATATTTAGAATACTGTTGCTAGTATTTTCCCACATTTGGACATGGACATTCGGAGTTGGGACACCTGCCCACAGTAAAATGCTCAGAGGATCAGTTTTAAGTCACAGTACTGCTTCAGTTGGTCCTGCTACAACACATACTGAAGTATGCATATCCAATGGGAAAAATAGGGTTAGAGGAACGCAACTCCAAAACTTAGTAACTTACACCAAATTAATTGAATAAAATAACAAAGACAGTGATTCCAATGACCAATAATGCATGGCAATATGCATTTTATATAAGAAATAATGCATGAATCAATTATATCATAAGCATCTTTTATGGGTCTTATGAGTCACACGAGAACTGCCTAGTAACTTCAACCGAACGTGCCAAACTCACTAACTCACAAACTCGCTTGTAGATTGTCGAGAGTTGGGAATTGTGAGCCACAGCCACCATGCGGCAGGATGAGCACACAGCACAATTACGGCAGATTACGGTATGCGGAGGGGCACTGAAGGCAGCATGGCTACAGACATTCAATGAAAAGCAAATGTAAGTGAATTTAAAAAGGTTGCTGTGTCTTTTTATAGGATAATTTGTCAAATATTTTTCCAAATCTAATGCTTTGACCTGTGCAATGCATGGATTCACAAAAAGCTTGATTCTTTTAGATTTGAAAACTTGTTTCACTGAAAAGAGCCGGTTTAAAAGAAAGATTCGTTCCTGAGTTGGATATCAGTCATTCACTTGTGTAGCTGTTTTTGCGTGCAGGTAGTGTTTTTTGCTAAGACCATATCACTTTGCACGGTGCTTTTAACTCCGACCTAAAAATTGCACAAAAAAACCCAAATCCAATTCCGTGTTGTATTGGACTTGCGCACTAATATATCAATTGTGTTAGAACAGACCATGCAATCTTGAGCCTTGATATGTATAAGACAGGGGTGGCCAATCTTATCCGCAAAGGGCCGGTGTGTATGCAGATTTTTGGGATAACCTGTAGGTCAGCTGTTCAAACCCAGGTGTGAGGACTCTTCAGCCAATCAGTCACCCCTGGTATAAGACATTTTGGACAATTCTATGCTTCCAACTTTATGGGAACAGTTTGGGGAAGGCCTTTTTCTGTTCAAGTATGACTGTGCCCCAGTGCACAAAGCTAGGTCAATAAAGACATGGTTGGGTGAGTTTAGTGTGGAAGAACTTTACTGGCCCATTGAACATCTTTGGGATGAACTAGAACGGAGATTGCTAGCCAGACCTTCACATCTAACATCAGTACATCACAAATGCTCTTCTGTATGAATGAGCAAAAATTCTCACACATTCCAAAATCCTGTGGAAAGTCTTCCCAGAAGAATGGCAGCTGGAATGGCTGCAAAGCGGGCCGAACTCCATGTTGGTGCCTATGGATTTAGAGTGGGATGTCATAAAAGGTCCTGCCAGTGCAATGGCCAGGTGTCCCAATACCTTTGTCCATATAGTCTGTTAGGATGTTACGGTATGCATACGTATTGCTTATGAATGTTTGTTTTATTCATGCATTATGAAGGTACACTGAATGTTCTATGAATGCATTACAAAGGTTTTATTTTGGTATGTTTTGGCCTGCTGGTGTTGCATGAAATCTAAATACGCTTTGCTCCCTAATAATAAATCTAATGCTGTTGTTAAGCATTGAAATTCAATTTGTTCCAAACAAATTGGACAGATCATAACATGGACGTGTATACAATAAAAGTTGTGTTTCTCCAGTCCCCCAGATCTGGCAGGGGTTGATTAAGGTTCTTAGCATTATGGACTTGAAAGAGAACAGCTTTTTTGTAATGATGTTTTTTGTTTTATATTCTGTCTGTTGTGGTGGGATTCGCAATGTTCATATAGACATTTATTAGTTTAAAGTTTAGTTTACTGGTTTGATTGTGGAATAGGAGCTCAATGGTGTGTTTAAAATTCTTTTCAATTATGTTGATGGTTATTCAGGTTTATTATAATAATTATGAACACTTAAATATAATACTAGTGTATGGATTTCATAAACTCTGCAATAGTTTATTGAACACCTTAATAATGTTAGAAATGTAATAAAAGCAAAAACTGGACCGTTACACTTGCAATACTTCCACTTGCTTTCAAATACAAATAGTTTAGCTGCCTCAACAAATACAGATACAAATACTGGGCTTTCTGCACATCCCTTCTAAGTCATTCTACTGAGGTGGGAGCATGGACCGTTAATGAAATACTTGAATCCTTTTGTTGTGATTAGCATTAAAATTAGACTATCTAGGTGAGCCTGTCAGCCTTGATTAAATAAAGTGCTTTCTGGAAAACTGTTTCAGAACATATGCTCAGTAAAATGAGGAAAATTTACCAGGCATTGTTTCTAAGCTGAAGTGGCTTTCATGTATTACTTGAGATGCCTTTGAGTGCTTTCATCGTGCTTAATTTACTGTAAAGAATAAGCACACAATATCGTATGCCTTGTCTGTTTTGATGATCCCTTCCTTTCTAATCACCACAAACTTGTGTGTTTGCCATACATTAGGCAAGCAGAACACTGACTGTTTGTGGCATGATCTTTCTCTTTTGAATTTGTATTTTGCTTAAAGTTCTTAACTTGACTGCCTACACCTTTGCTTCAAACATCCTGTTACCCGACAGTTTGAGGTGTAAACAATTCTGGCCTTAGATTAACAGACTAAACATTTTGTAGTTATGATTTACCTTCAAGTTTATTTTCAGAGATGATAAATTTAAACATCAAACCATCCACAGAAAGATCCATCACCCGTGTAAAATATTGAAAGTTCGTTAATGAAATTCTCAACTTCTGACCTTCCAGTTGGCATTTTACTCTTTCACGTGCATGCTGGAACCAAATAAATAAATTCCTTATTTATGTAAAATCAGACCTGTAAGCAGACTTAACTAAGTGAGAGCCTTGAGACTATAGATTGAGAACCACTGCGGTGATAGTTTGGTCGTGTTCATACAACTCGATGAATTTATTTGTCAAGTTGGGTGGCAAAGAATTTTTTGAATTTGAAATCTGTTCTTTTTTGTAAGATTTACCACAGTGCATCTTCTTTTGCTTTTTCAGGATAGTGAAATTACTAAATAAACCTCAATGCTGCTGTTCTTTGTCCTTCACACGCTGTTTCTCCTTTTAGGACTGGGTGACTGCCACGGATATCAGAGTGACCCTTAACAGGCTGAACACCTTTGGAGATGAAGTTTTTAACGACCCTAAAGTTCTCAAGTCCTACTATTATGCCATTTCGGACTTTGCTGTCGGGGGGAGGTAAGACTAGGCTCATCATGCACACTCCTGCAATTAACTTCAGATTTTAACTCTAATTTTAATAACCAGTTAATCTGATATTAAATTACACCATTGCTTTATCCTACTTTTTCAGGCGCATTTTTCTCAGTTACATGCTAAGATGCCACATCTTGTGCACATCTGCTGTACTCTTAAAGTCACAATTTATTTTTATGTATTTGATTAGAAGTTGATGGGCTGTAGTCCACCCATTCAGTCAAATAAGGGAGGTCTTTCAGTTGTTCCTGAGACAGTAAAAAGTGAAACTCTTATTACGTTGCTGAAACTGACTTGTAATTCAGAAGATGTGTTGCGATGAGCATAATCCATATCATGATTTTTTTTGAGCAACACTCATTGATACAAATATTAAATTTATGTCAAACTGTTACATGTGGAGTTTGTTCCCTGTAATGGTGTTATGGTAGGGTGGTGCTGTTTGCTCTCTGCTCGCTCACTCGTGCTGTTCCTCGTATCACCATCTTGTTAGTCATTATTCAAAATGGACACCTGTCTTGAAGGGCAGCCAGCTGACTGAGTACATGTTGTTCCTACTTGTGACCTGTTACATCTGTACACTAACTTAAGATTTGAATATGATAGTTAAATGACCTGCTCTGATCATGATTTCTCCCCTGCTCTAGGTGTAAGTGTAATGGGCACGCCAGCGAGTGTGTGAAAAACAGCGTGAACAAACTAGTGTGTAACTGTAAGCACAACACCGAGGGCACCAACTGCGAGGTGTGTAAGCCCTTCTTTAACAGCCGGCCCTGGAGACGAGCCACTGCGGAGAATGCCAACGAGTGTCTGCGTAAGTCCCCCTTCTAAACCTCTGATTAGGAGTGAAGGGAAAAATCATGATCGAAACCGTCTTTACATACTTGTAAGCTGTCTTCCATTCCCTCTGCTATTGGTCTGCAAGTGGTCCCCTCTAGCAACCCCCAGTCTTTACCTGATTGCATGACTCATCATCTCTTCAGCTAATTGCCGTGTCACTTTGCAGTGGCTGTCATGTCAAAGGTCTTCTGGTCGTGTGGTTTCAGAGGCAGTGTGGTGGAATAGTTTAGGATATTCTCTAATCTGACAGCTTTGGGCTCCATATAACTATATTTCTGGTGTCATGTGCTTCCTACTTTTGTTGCGAGCTGCTTAATTGTAAGAGACCAGATTTCCTTGTGGCGCCTCCTTCACGGGAGCTTGGTGTGCATATTAAACTTTAATGCTGTTTGAGATTTTTTTTTGTGTTTGATATTTTACATTCCAGAGACATGAAAAGTTTCTATTTATTGATGTATAGCTTGTCCTTTGGTCTAGGCTTGGGCGGTATCCAAATTTTGATACCGTCAAACCTCCTCCCTATTTTACCTCGGTATACGGTATTACCGTGAATAATAAAAAAATTGTGACGTAAGACTCAGACAGCGTCACCAAACTGTTGGCTTGTGCCTAAACCATTCAGAAACTGAATACCAAACACTAATACTGAAACAATAACAAAATAATATGCAGAACAATATTAACAACTTTTATTAGCAACAAATAGCAGTTTATAAAAAAGTGCAAATACAACAGTCAAACAGAATTAAATTAACATAAACATCCAGAACAGTTTTCGCGCAGAGACGCGCACAAGTCAAATTAAATCACACCGCCTGAACAACTTTTAATAACGAAGAAGAGCAGCTTATAAAAAAGTGCAAATAGACCTACAACAGTCAACCAGAATTGAATTAACATAAACATATCCATATTATAAAAAGTATTGCAAAGCAATAGTCCTAAACAAAAACTTTTTAACGTAAACCAAATAAAAATACCTGAATCAATTAAATAAATCCGTATTTACCGCCTCTCCCTTCTCGTTCGGTCGAAACCCGAAATACTGCCAAACTGCAGAAGTTGTGTTCTTTTTCGAGACCAGGTCCCTTGGTGCGCGACTCGCCATCTTTCCCCACCTCTCTATTTCTCCTCCACGCTGTCACGTGATGACAACCACGCATACGCATTTTTAGGCATTAAATAAATTGCATTTAATATTTAATCCGTGTCTCCTATATAAGTGCATTGTTTTTATGACGTATAACGGTATTGAAACTGATACCGTTGCTATTTTTAGATCCCGCGGTATACCATATTACCGTATTACCGCCCAAGCCTACTTTGGTCTGAGGAAGTGTCTTAGTATCTCAGATCAATTTCCATCCTCTAATAATAATTTCCGATGGCTATTTTACAGCAGTATCCCAATTTTTAAATTTTTTTTGTACATTCCTCAAAAGTAGGAGGACCCTTTTGATCTCTGGCCTCACTGTCTGTCCTTTCTCCTGATTGGCTGTAATTTACATAGAATTAATTCCTTTAGTTAAATCTTGAACTGAATGTTTAACTTAGTGTCTCTCTTCAAGTAGATCCAATTCATTCATAGTCTTACTGGCCTTAAACCTACCTTGAACTTTTTTAATGCAACTGCACTAAATGACTATCTTCACTGCTTATGTTTCAATGGAACGGTTCCCAATCGCTGGGACTGGGCACGGGGGAGCAGGGAGAATCGTTTGATTGGGCTTCCCAATTAACTGGCAAGTGTGGCACGAACGACAATACCTCTTTACATCAGAGTTTATTCCCGGCCAATAAAAACACTTTATTATGCGGGCGAGTGTCTTCCTAACCCCTAGGTGACCAGAGCACAGGTGGTCATGAGCTAAGGCTAATACGTGATTTCTGTGGTTACACGGAACAACTACCTGAAACACCGCAGTTCCATGGAAAAATGGTTCTGCATCTTTTGTTCCATATACTTTTCAAAATTTAAGGTACATTTATGTTTTGGTGGTTTGTGTTATGCAATTTTAAAATTTATGGTTTTAACCGAACTCTCCTTTCCCAGCATGCAACTGTCACGGCAAATCCACCGAATGTTTTTTCGACCCGGAGCTGTACCGGGCCACTGGGCATGGCGGACATTGCCGCAACTGTGCCGACAACACGGACGGGCCAAACTGCGAGCGATGTCAGGACAACTATTATCGGGAGAGTGCCAATGGCTACTGCTCTTCCTGTAACTGCAATACTGTGGGTAGGTTCATCTCCATGCACATCTATGTTTTCTATATTGCACTCTTGTAGTACATGTATATAATGTCTTTTTACATACTTATGATTTTAATTGTATAGCTCTGTTGCCTGGGCTAACTCTTAATATGAGGCACAGGAGTTCTGATGCAGAACTGGTACTGATTGTACTGTTGTCTGAATTGTACTTGCGTCATATGGGTCAGATATCAAAATCTTGAAATATTTATTGTTCATGTTCATTATTGTGGTTCTGCGTATATTGCTTTAATTTTTGTAAACCTTGCAACTTGGTTATTTGAATTTTAAATGTATTTATATTTGGTTATTCGGGAACAAAAATCTGTTGTATAAGCATAAGCGATCAGCCGTAACACTGAAACCACTGACAGGTGAAGTGAGTAAAATAGATTATCTCGATACAGTGGCACCTGTCAAGGTGCTGGCATTTTATAATAGTCAGTTCCTGAAGTTGATGTGTTGGAAGCAGGAAAAATGTGCAAGTGCAAGGACCTGAGTGACTTTGACAGGGGCCAAATTGTGATGGTTATATGACTGAGTCAGCATCTCCAAAACGGCAGGTGGACGGCTGGGTCCGTGTGCGTCATTTACCTGGAGAAAAGATGGTACCAGGATACACTATGGGGGAAAAGACAAGCTAGCAGAGGCAGTGTGATGCTCTGGGCAATGTTCTGCTGGGAAACCTTGGGTCCTGGCATTCATATGGATGGTCGTACCACCTACCTAGACACTGTCGCAGACCAAGTGTGCTCCTTTATTGCAGCGGTATTCTCCGATAGCAGTGCCAAGTTTCAGCAGGATAATGTGTCCTGCAACACTGCAAAAATTGTTCAGGAATAGTTTGAGAAACATGAAAAAGACTTCAAGGTGTTGACTTGGCCTCCGAAATTCCCCAGATCAATTCAATTAAGCATCTGGACAAACAAGGCCCCAGAACTTAAAACATTAGCAGCGGATCCTTTGGTGCCAGATACCACAGGGCAACTTCAGAGGTCTTGTGGAGTCCATGCCTCGACGGGTCAGATCTATTTTGGTAGCATGAGGTTGACCTACACAATATTAGGCAGGTAGTCTTAATGTTACAGCTGACTGATGTAATATTCAGATAAAATTGCATAGCAATACATAGCTAATATTTGGAACATACCCTGAACACGTGGAGGCATGTAAACACGAATTCCCCTGTAAGCAAATTTTGCTGGTTTGCCTAGTTCCCTGTAGTATTTAACTTTCATCTGCCAACCCATAATAACATCTGGCTGTTTTGTAGGCTGTTCTGCCCACCACATGGCTTTGTGTCTCAGACCCCCTTGTTTTGCCATCTGTAGATTTAACTGATTTGTAAAATGGCAGAATCTGCCATTCATGTACATCATGAAGAGTAGCAGTACAAACACGGTACTCCGTAGTGCTCCACTAATTACGTGCAGGCTTGTTCCTCCTCAAAGGGCACATTACTTCCAATTAAAACATTTTACATTTTAGTTTTAGCCTTTTGGGTGTTTGTACAATGAGTGCCATAGTCGCATTTTTAAGGAATTCCAAAAGATTAGAAGAACATGTCTCTCCTTTTAGTGTTTGAGTGTGCCTTAACTGTTAGTGTTGCATTAAGTAATTTATATTCGGGCTTCTAGCATGTGTTCTTCCTGTTTATCCTGTTTTCCCCAACTAGTTTAAATATCTACACACTCAGCTCTCTAGGGCTGTTATGACCCTCCGGTTCTGGTGTAAACTCTTCAGCTTGGACAGAATAATCTGTCCCAGAAACAAATTCCCGCTCTCTTACCTCAGGATTTTAGTTGTACCATTCATGTACTGACTCCTAGTCTTGACATGCATCAGAATTTGAGGAAGCTGGCATGACTGTGCCACCATTGGTGTTTTACAGAGCTGCCAGTCTTCCCTCACTTTTGCCACACACCACAGTAGCTTCCTCCTCATACTTGCTCAGGGACATTTCCAGCCTGGACATAGGGCTGCACAATTAATCGTAAAAAAAAAAAAACGCAATTTCAATTCATACCTCTATATGATCTCATCTGAATTAAAAAAAAAAAATGGCTGTATATTACTGGGCTGACAGATGTGTGCATGTGGAATTCTAATCTCTGCTTCTTACTACCAGATCGCAGTTAAAGCTTTGGTCACTTTATTTGTCCACGCATCCATTGTTGTTTTTATTATTTTGCCTTGTTTGTCGTTTTCCGAGTTCAGTCGTTTTCAAGACAGCTTTGTATTGCGTTTTAGAGGCAGGCTGTTTGTATAACCATTCAACAAAGAAAGCATTTCAAGTCCCACCCAAAGTACCGAAAAAGTACCCCACTGGCCCTTTTGGTACTGGGGCTTTTGGTATGGCTGTTTGGGTTACCCTAATTGAATGGCCAATTGAGCATTTCCTTCCTTTTGTCATAAGTTATGTCAGTCCTGGATCAATCATGTGTTTGGCACAGTCATGTTTTGTTATGTTTATTTTTGCAGTGTAATGAGTGCAATAAACGTTTAAATTTAAGGGGAAAAAATGTTAGTAAACCATGGTCTCAATTTTAAGCAGTCATGCAATTCAGAATCATGCAGCCTTACCTGGACATTGCATGGCTCTCAATCTCTTTGCTTATGTGCACACCAGTTCCTACTCCCCTTATGATTGAATACCCAGGCTCTTGACCTTGTACAGTGTACCTCCAGCCAATCAGAAGTCATCTGCCGCTCAGCTTGCAAAGCATCAAAAGCTAGCTTAGGCTATGTTGGTTCACTATAGTGTTAGTGTGATTTTGGCCTCTTGTGTACCGTCTTGCCTGTTTTGGCCTAAGGCATTTTCCCTTAAGACATTCTCATGTTTATTAGCTGGTATTGCACTTATTTCATCAGCTATAACTCTTTGGTAAGTCATGACTAGTGAAGAACCAGTCTGTGATCTTTGAATGTGAATTTTTCATTCAGGAGCAGCGATATTTCACTGTTGATGGTGAATAGGGGGCTGTAGATCAGGACCTCGTATTTATGAGTAACACAGGGGGCTGTAGATCAGGACCTCGCATTTATGAGTAACAACTGTCAAATCCCTCTCTACTCCAGGCTCACTCAGCACGCAGTGTGACAACAGTGGACGCTGCAGCTGCAAGACGGGCGTGTTTGCAGACAAGTGTGACCGGTGCCAGCCTGGCTTTCACAGCCTCACGGAGGCGGGCTGCAGGTGAAGACTGCTCCCGCTGCCTTTCAGTCTCTCTTTAGTGCTTTTTGGGACGTGTAGCACTAAAGCTTCTCTCCCCGCCGCAGACCCTGTTCCTGTAACTCCTACGGCAGCACGCAGGAGTGCGACATCTCCACAGGCCGCTGCCAGTGCAAAGAGAATGTTGAGGGGTTCAACTGCGATAGGTACGGCATCACAATCAAGCCACTCTTATCATCATCCAGCTAGTTTTGTTATTCCATTGTCTGAACTTTCCAGGATGTAACGGCTTTCATATTTTCCACTTTGAATCTGCGGTCTTGAGAATAATAGGAGTTGCCAAAACGTCATCTGCTTCGCCATATTTCTGAACTCAACTTCTTGTTTATAAAAGGATGCATATCTTTGACCAAAGTGTGGCACAGGTGGCTGTAGAAAGTCATTTGGCCTGACGTTCCTGGCTGAAGGAGAAAATAGCACTTAGCTCCCCCCGTCCCAGCTGGGAATGGGCAGCTTTGCCTTGTATGGCTTTCTATGAGCAGAGGAGAATCCCAGCACACCACCTCAGGCTACTATTGTCCGGTGACACTGTAAATCAGTTCCCGATGCCAGACGAATGGGCTCCCATGCAAACAGGGACCTTGTCTCCTCACCAGAGATGAACAGACGCTGAGTAGAGCCGCTCAGTAAGGAAACCGATTGAAATGGCTAATATTAGCACTGGGATGCGTGTGTCATAAAGAGAGTTGGATTGGCTGTCTTGTTTTCAGGGCTCCAGCACAGGTTTGGGAAGCTTAAAAAGTGTACAATGATTTCATTATCTTAGATATCTGGTTGACGTATAATCCCGACATACTGTTTTATTTTCAGATTTATGTTGGTGCTGTGAAGCTTAATGTCACAGAATGTATTTTATGGAAAGTACATATTGGCTATTTAAGTTCTGTTGCACCATCTTAAGACTTCCTGTGTATAGTGTAACAGCACAGCCATTTGCTGTAAAGCTGTCCTGTACATGGGACTCGTCTGTACTAATGACCACAACATGTGGTCCCAGCTTGTTTTTGCACACATGCAGTCTTTGTTCAAACCTTCATGATTTCACTCTGGGACCTGGAACATCTGGACCATAATTTTAATTTAGTTGTACACTTTGACTTTTAAACTACTATTCTATTTTAGGATGTCACTCATTGAGTCTTTAAAGTATCCAGTTTTATTGTGATGAATACCTTAATTGGTTTGATTTAGTGTCTAATAGTGAACTAGAGTAAATTCCCTAATAAATTCAGACATTGGCTTTTTCCAAGAGTTAGTATTTTGTAGGGTTACTTTAGTTTTGAACTGGTCAAAAAATCCCATAAACACACTCCTAAACCTTGTGGACAGTTGAAGCTGTTATAGCTGCAAAGGGTGGGCCAACTCCCTATTAACACCTATGTACTGAGAATGGGATGTCATTAAAGTTTGTGTGTGTGAAGGCAAAAAGTACGTGTCTGCATGACTCATTGTAATGAAAGTGTCTTTGACATGTCTTTAGAAGATTAGGCTAGAGATGAACACTAACTTCCGATAGTACTTACATTATCAAAGCCATTGAAGATGAAAATCTAATCCAGTTCAAATGTCTTGTTATGCCTTTAGGTGCAAGCCGGGATTCTTTAACCTGGATCCACTGAACCCCCAAGGATGCACCCCCTGTTTCTGCTTCCGCCACTCGTCTGTGTGCGACAAGGCAGAAGGCTACAGCATACACCTTGTGTCCTCCACCTTTGACAAAAGTGAGCCAACCTCTTTATCCAATCACAACCACTACATTTTTTCGTTTTTATAGGAAGTGACAGATTTTGTTTTAGGGGGTAAAAACTGCAATCCAATCGGTTATTTGGTTTCACATCTGGTATCTTGATGATATGAGAAAAAACACGAGTGGCTCTGCTTATGGAGCCATTAGGCAATGCCATACAGATGCCCAAAAACATGAAGTAAGGGTTACTTGGTGATTTGTTAGTGACCACTGCTGACTTTGTCCCCTAAGGGAGCCACATTATGTTGATGCTACTCTTGGTGAGCAAAGGAAAGCCATCAAACTCAACTGACTGACAAGTCTTGCTAGGTCTCATGAACACTTCATGGTGGCATATTACGGTGTCACTTTCTGTGGTGATGTTAGGCTTTTATTATTGTTTTGATGCAACTTACCACTTAACTTAATAATTACTGTTCATTTCTCAGCAGTTGGTTAGGTTTTGCTGTCAGTGTTCTGGCTTGTACCTTAATGCTCAGATATCCGTATCCTTGAGGTATCCTGCCTCCACGTAACATTTCCATGAGACATAATGAAGTTTGGCGGTCTCAGTAGCTCTCAAACGTGTCCTGACAACTTCTGTAATAGTCAGAGGCCTCTTGCAGCCATACAAGCCATGATTATGGTTGATCAGGCATGCCTGGCATTTTTAGACATGAAGCAAAGTGAGCTGGGATATTGAGTCGTTCCTGAGGGGAATTTCTCATTGTTGCCAGCTATAAATTTAGATTAGAGCTGTCGCTGTTTATTATATGAATAATTGAGTAATCTGGAGATTCATTTTATGATTAATCAAGTAATTCTTTATGTATAATATATACACCTATATAATATATACGTAGGTAAATATAATATTTATACATTATTATAATTAGCAAGAGGCAAGAACCAACCCTTGAAGGTGTGCCAGGACATCACTCTGTCTTGCATAAGGTCATTTTAGGCGCCTCACTTCACTTAGGTGGCATGTTTTTGGACTGTGGGAGCAAACTGGGGAACCGTTAGCCAGAATAATAGGGTTTTTTCTTTTTTGCGCATATTGGAACACTGTTGTTTCAGACCAATTTTATGCAAACAGGATGTGCCACTGAACTAGCTGGTGAAGGAATGTTTTATGTGAACAGAATCAAACGAACTGTGTCCCAAAAAGAATAATTTCTCCCATCCTTACCTGACAGTCTTCGGAATGTCAGCATTTTCTTTCACTTAATGCTTCCACACATCTGAGGCTTTTGCTCTTTATTTCGACTCTCATCCGCTATGTGCCATCTTCCTTATGCCATATTGCTGAGTCATTTGGAAGGCAAATTTTAATCAATGCTCTATTAATCTAGAAACAGTGACAGCTCTTGATTAAACATTTCTGAAAATTAACCATTAAAGTTAACTTTTTTCCCTTATTTGGAAACATGGACAGTAAAAGGACGGCCTTTGTATGCTTATATAAATCAGAATACATAGAAAAATAATTTTGGTAGAAATTTGACAAATTGAACCATTTCTTCTCTGAACAAATGAGTTTATTGGGAACCACAGTTTTTTTTATTGTGTTTTGTCCTGTGAATAAACATGAACACCGTTTAAATCTTGCGTTCTGTGTACGCATCACGGAATTCTGTAGTCAGATAAGTAAAGCATATTACTGATAAGTAAGTTTAACTACAAAGAAATCTTGGAATTGTGATATGAGGCTCGAAGATACGAGGCTTCACAACCTGTGGCTGGTGGCTTTACAGTGTGCTGCTGTTAGCTGAAGGTAACTAGCAGTGTCATTCCATTGTAAACCGCCATTGCTTTAAAATACAATACAATGGCTTTTTATTTGAAGCATTACAATTTGCTATAATAACAGGGAATTATTTACATGCTTTTCAGCGTTTGCTCCATAAATCAAACTTGGAGAAGTGCACTAATTGAACTCAGTAAGCTTGTCTTTAATGCATTCCTTTTTTGAAGATCGAAGGCTTCTACAGTGCTTTTCCTTTCCCTTATCATAAGGTTGGCGCCTTATTGAGTATGCCATTATTACATTTTGATCTTAAATTTTTTTTTTTGGTGGTTTAATCATACGTGCTTGTCAGACAATTTTATTGTATTTAAGTACTTTGCTAACTGATCATGTAACTGATCATAAAGGCATATTTAAGAGGAAATGAAGTCAAATGTTTATCTGGGCGCAGGAACAAGAGCAACACCTTCCTACCAGCTGGGGAAGCTCATGAAAAAAGGGATTCCTCATGAATTGCTGCTCCCCAATAGTTGCTGGTTTCTAAGTGTAATTAGTACAAGTGGGATATACCCAGATTATGCTAATGAGGGAGGTTCATTTTATGGAAATGTTAAAGGAGCAACATGAATACTATATCAGACCTCCTAAGAGCTTTCTTGATTTTTATTTTTTTTTCCTTGCATGAGTTTTGCCAGTGGAGGCATCACTGCACTGTATTCCAGTCAGTCCGAACAACATAAGCGGAGTTTCTAGTTTATATGGCTGTTTCATTATGGATTCTGTTCATAGTGCTACAGTGTTAATTTTTCTTATGTCAGCAATTTAGATTGAATTTAAGAATTCATTAGTGTGAAATTGAAGGTGATTTTCTGTTTGTTAGAACTGGGCCGTACTGTATTCTAGTGGTATTCAGTATTTCCAAAATATGTATTTCAGTTTGTGTTGACTCTGATAAAATCCATGTTAAAGTCCAGCTATTTGGTTCATAATTTGCTTTATTTTTATTAGTAATCATCCTGCACTATACTCTAGTTTCACTTTGTTATATTTATCTTCTGTTGTAATTATTAACTTTGTGTGAGCAGTTAAAATGAATAACTGTGACATAAATATATAGATCCGGGCCGGTATGTAATGCTGTGCCTTTATCTGGCCCAGGTAATGAGGAGTGGACTGGCCAGCGGCGTGACGGGTCCGGGATCCCGGTCCAGTGGTCCTCCAGCAGGAAGGAGATCTCCCTCATGTCCGATGACTACTTTCCCATATACTTTGTCGCTCCAGGTATAAAACATATAGGGCCCATTTACTGGAGAGACCTACTGGAGAGAACATTTACATTCATTTCTAATATGCGATAGCAGCATGCTTCTGTTTGCTGCTTTCACCCACGTTCTGAGATGTTCTGCCGCTAACATCTTCCATCAGTGAGGGTGTCTCTGTGAATTTTATTCCAACAGCGAAATTCCTGGGCGACCACCACCTGAGCTACGGGCAGAACCTCACATTCAGCTTCCGGGTGGATCGACGGGACTCGCGCATGTCTGCCGAAGATGTGGTGCTCGAGGGGGCAGGCCTGCGTGTGGCCGTCCCCCTCATTGCCCAGGGAAACGCCTACCCCAATGAGAATCCGCAGACATACGTCTTAAGGTATTAATGAGTTTTAAATGGGAGCCTGCTAAATGGAAGGCAAGACGCTTAGTCGAATGTGAAACGAATGCAAGACAAAAACATCTGCGGGGTCTTCAGAAATATGCAAGGCTTTCTGCATTCAAAATCTGATTTGTGTAGTTTAGCTCTTATTAGCATTGTGCTCATGGGACTTTTGTTTACCAGCCTTTTTGGGGGATTCATTCATTGTAAGAGTGTCTGATGATCTCCATGTACCTTTGCAGGCTGCGTGACGCCTCAGACTACCCCTGGAAACCCATTCTCACCTACTCAGACTTCCAGAAGCTGCTCTACAACTTGACCTCCATTAAGATCCGTGGCACCTACAGTGAAAAAAGTGTGCTCACGCTCACGTCGTTAAGCATTACTGAGGGATCTGTAGAACATTTCATTAGTCTCACCTTATGAATGCATCTACATTTATTAATTATTAGTAATGTGATTGTCTTTATAAATAGTTTTAAGATTTGGAGTTTATCAATGAAGTTAAATTCTGTGTGGGTTGCGGAATTCTGTTGCGTAATTTGTTTAGATGTGGACTGAAAAAACGACAGTCTTTTAGCGTGCCAAGGAATCTTTAAGCATGTGATGGAGGACCTGCTTTTGATTTTCTCAAGAGCCACCTTTCTCAGTCTGGTCCATTAGGAACCCTCAGTCCACATTTCTGCATTCATAATTGTTACTGATTTTGTATAATACTAATTATTATTACTAGTGTAATTTAACCTGTTGTTTAAATCTGGTTCATTGGTTGATTGAGTGGCTTTGGAGCAATTACTTTTCACATGGGTGATAAGTGTTGGATTATAAATGATTAAAATCTGTCGTTTACTCAGGTTGTCATTTGTACTATACTAAATAGTTTGAACATAAACGATTAAGTGTTACTAAGCAAAAATAGAGGGAATCAGAAACAGAGGAAGAATATATTCACAAGACTATATATTTAACTCGCCCAGTTTATGGTAGCTTGATACTTTATGGAAAATTCCACATGTTAATAAGCTGAATTTTTCTTTAGGTGCTGGGCATCTGGATAACGTGTCCCTCGTGACTGCCCGCAAGGGTCCGGGCACACCCGCGCACTGGGTGGAGCAGTGCACCTGCCCCCAGGGCTACACGGGCCAGTTCTGTGAGCGGTGTGCCCTGGGGTACCGCAGGGCCCAGCCTGAGCTGGGGCCTTTCAGCTCCTGTGAGCTTTGCAACTGCCACGGCCACAGCGACTCCTGTGATCCAGAGACAGGTTAGTTTCTGGAAGTAATTTTTGGACAAACACTGTTAAATAAACCTCATTTCCTTACAATACCCCTTTAAATAAAAATATTAAACGTGTGATTAAAAAAAAGTTATAAATGTGCTATATGTTGGAAAGCATTGCTAATAGTTAACTGGTGTAACAGATCCTGTATGTATGAACCTGATGGGTTTCACACTTTTGAAGAGTAAGTTTAACTGTCTTTGCATGGCTCATACTACCATCTAGTGGCAGAAAATATAATTTACACATTTTTGTCACAGGGATGTGTGATTGCAAGGACCACACTACTGGTTCCAGTTGTGAGAAGTGCAGTGATGGTTACTACGGCGATGCTACTCTGGGAACTGCCTCTGATTGCAAGCCTTGTCCCTGTCCTGGAGGCTCATCCTGTGCAGTGGTACTTAATACCATGGAAGTGGTTTGTACCAACTGCCCTACGGGGACAGCAGGTATAAATTTAAAGAGCAGCCAGACAATATGTTATAATAAATCCACCCTGGGGAATAGAGAATTATTATTTTCGCTGTTTAATATTGAGTATTTTTGAGTGCGTCATATGCTTCCATGGCATGCCTCTGTTGGCATGCGCACAGAGCACTATATAGCACGCAGTAGCGAGTAGCCTTGTGTGATGATCCTTCCCAGGGAAGAAGTGCGAGCTCTGTGATGACGGCTATTTCGGCGACCCCCTGGGGAGAAGCGGCCCCTTGAGGGTGTGCAGGGAGTGCACATGCAGCAACAACATCGACCCCAATGCAGTGGGCAACTGCAACCGCGACACCGGCGAGTGCCTCAAGTGCATCTACAACACCAATGGCTTCTTCTGCGACCGCTGCAAGGACGGCTTCTATGGAAATGCTCTGGCCACCAACCCTGCCGAGAAGTGCAAGGGTGAGAGTGTGGTCCTCGCTTGGCCGAAGACACTCCATTCTACACATTATATCTTGTCCATCATACATTACATAAATGCAAATGGTCAGACGAAATGCATTCACAATGTTTTAAATGACAGCTACTGTATTGATCCCATTAGAAATTGCAAATGTTATAATGGCAAACTGGGCCATAAAAATAGATGAGGCAGGTAACCAAAAAATACAAGGTTGCACATAAATGTACAGCAACAAACAGCATGCGGTCTGATAAATTAGGTCAGATGAGGGACTCACTGCAGAGTCAGATGGCAGCTGGACAACCCTCACGTAGTGCTCCAGAGATCAGCCAGTGTGCTGCTCAATCTGTCCTTTTGTTTGGGCAGGGAAATGGTCTTAATTGTGTTTCTTAGGCATGGAATACATACGGTTCTAGGACTGGGCCACCGCTACCACAGATGCTTTCTTGTTAGCGTGATAACTCAAAAAGTCCCAGTTAGTTAGTTATACCTGCAGAACCCTGGAGAGGCCTGGGGTTTTTTTCTTGGGCACACATTGTACTGGGAGACATTTGGCTTGTAGATGTCTGACTGTAATGAAAGATCACATCATTCGTTTCTGTGCATTATGTGAAGCTGACTAAACTGTTGGATTAAGTCTGAATAATGGTTACTACCACTGCTTTTGAGAATATAGCGGGTAGATTCTGATTGGTCTGCTCCCTCCCCCCAGCCTGCAACTGCTCTCCTTTCGGCACGGTGAACAAGGGAACCAGCTGCTCACAGACCACTGGTCAGTGCACATGTCTGCCCCATGTGGAAAACAGGGACTGCAGTGCCTGCAGTCCGGGCTATTTCAACCTGCACAGCGGCCTTGGATGCCAGCGGTGAGCTTCTGGGTTTTGCCTGCAGTGTACAGAGCTGTGTCCTTATAATGGATGACTAGAACATGTACTCATAATCACAGTTTCCTTGACTACTCTATTCTAGTTGTGTATCTTAAAGCCTAAAATTGTCTCTACAGGTGTGACTGCAGTGCAGTTGGTTCCACAAACGGCCACTGTCACATAATCAGTGGTCAGTGTGAGTGCCAGCCAGGTGTCACGGGTCAGCACTGCGACCGCTGTGAGGTCAATTCCTTTGGCTTCGGGCCGTCTGGCTGTAAACGTAAGATGTTCTTTTAATCTGCTGCTTTTACCAATTGCCAGTTGCATATCTTGTGAAATACAAACTATGTCCATCTTCCTAGAAAAAGCCATTGATCATGGTTCTGTATTGAGATATTACGGAATGCAAGGCGTAAGACGTGTTAGGAATCTGTCTCCTCTCTGACTCTACCCCTCCCCCCAATTGCAATGTAGCCTGTGACTGTGACCCTGATGGCTCCCAGTCAGCCCAGTGTGAGGAGAATGGACACTGTATCTGCCGGCCCGGTTTTGTTGGTGTTCGCTGTGACATGTGTGAAGAGAACTACTTCTACAACCGTTCTCGGCCCGGCTGCCAGCAGTGTCCCTCTTGCTACACCCTTGTGAGAGACAAGGTGAGTTAATGCTGTGCAGAGGGAGTTAATTCTCTGCAAATGCAGCCCGGTTTGCTCACAGCCTGTCGCCTTTTCGTTCTAGGTACACCAGCAAAGACAGAAGATGCAGGAACTGCAGGATCTAATTGACAACCTGAGCAGCAGTCAGGGGACCGTCAGTGACAAGGCCTTTGAAGAGCGTCTGCGGGAGGCAGAAAAGGCAATTATGGACCTGCTATTGGAGGCGCAAAACAGCAAAGGTGCTGACTGCTGAAATAAAGGCTAAAATATTTAAATGGTGATCAATACATAATGGCAGCAATGTTTAAATAAATAAGATCAGTTTCCCTAATTTTTGCTGGTTATTTTCCTTATTGACTTAGTAACAAACAATATTGCAACATGTCTGAAATTTTGGAAGCTTACCTGCTTGACTTGCTGATACCAAATTTTTCATCCATTCCAGATGTTGACAAGGAGCTCCTGGAGCGATTGGCTCACATCAACAGCACCTTAGTCACCCAGTCGAAGCGTCTCCATAACATACGTGACACTGTGGACCAAACGAGCACATTGGCAGACAAGTCTCGAACCCGTGTCCGAAGCGCAGACAACCTGATCAACCGGGCCCGCGATGAGCTCCAAAAGGCCAAGGATGCCATAAATAAAGTGGTGAGGAACTTGAACAGTTATTGTCTAAGTCACTAGTAAATAAGGCACCCCAGTGTCTTCTGTCACCATTGTGTCACCATTGAAGTTGATAGGCAAATATGTATAGTTAGTTTTCTTTGTAGGATATAAATGTACCAACAAACACTGGGGATCCGAACAACATGACCCTTCTAGCAGAGGAAGCTCGGAAACTGGCTGAGAAGTAAGAACTATGTTTGAGTTATTAATGGTGTCGTTAATTGGTGTTTACATGTACTTCTACTATCTTGGGAATGGTAGTGACAATTGATTTTCTACACGTTTCCGATTAGACACAAGATTGATGCAGATCAGATACATAAAATCGCCAAGGACGCCAATAGCACATCAACTAAGGCCCTGGAGCTGTTGAAGAAGACTTTGGACGGGGAGAACAAGACGAGCAGTGACATCGAGGATCTCAACAAGAAGTATGAAATATGACACTTTTTTTTTTTTTTGTTGTTAGCTGTTACGAGGAACAACAAATCTTACGGGTGTATGGTGCTTGCAGGTTTAATGAGGCTAAAGACTTGGCACGGAACTTGGAAAAGCAAGCGAGCAAGGTGGACGCTGAAGCTGAAGAGGCTGGCAGCAAGGCCTTACGCATCTACGCAAACCTAACTGGGCTCCCAGGTCTCGACACCAAATCACTTGAGGTTAGCAGGAACCACTAGCTTAAACATGCCAGATGTATTCATAAGGAAATATATGACGTAATACGAAAATACAGTTGTATGCACAAGATTGGGCACAAATTGCAAATTCAATCTATTATGTAACTGTGATGTAGTTCACAACTGCTGCAGGAAATGTTAAGTCCAGAAAGTGCTAATACCTGGCGGAAGCCATTCTTCCCTCTACCATTGCAATGTTTCCTACGGCACTGGTAGCCACACAACCCCAAAGCATAATGACCCCCCCCCCAATGTTTTACCACTGGCAAAGGTGTTTTTTTCATGAAAAGCTGCTCCTTTTTTTCTCCAGACATACCTTTGTTTTTTTTGTTTTTTTTTTTTACAAAAACTTCAATTTTCACTTCTTTCAATGCTGATGGAATAAAAAGTAACCGTTTAACAATAGCAAATTTGTTGTTTTCCGATACTGTGTCCTGGAGCAGTCGTGTTACTTTTCACTCGCATAATTGACTAAACATGCAATTTAGCCAGGGGTGCCTAAATTTTTGCATAGAACTTTGAATGTCACTGACACCCTGTTAAATAACTTCCTCTTTTCAGGATGAAGCAAACAAAATCCAGAAAGAGGCCTCGGAGCTGGATAAATTGATTGATAAAACTGAGAAAGAGTATGTGGACCTCAGGGAGGACCTCAGAGGCAAAGAGACTGAAGTCCGCAGACTGCTAGAGAAGGGCAAGACTGAGCAGCAGGTATGCTTTACAGTGTCAAATTTTAATTCTCCCTCGCTTTGTTAAAGAGAAGGCAATCTTCTGCCTCGACTACATGCCTGTACTGCTAGCTGCTGTTCGGGGCAGTGTGCAGTACATGACAGTGTCAATATCTGACTGTGACTAACCCAGGAAGCAGGCTTAGGCTACAAACACAGTGAGATAACAAAGACTTCTGATTTAGTTTTCAGTTGAGCTGTACGCGAGACCCGTTTCATTTTGACTCTTGCACTCTCCCGCCAGATATTTGACCACTGATGGTCTGGTACATGCTTTTAAATCATAATTAAATCTGCCCCACCAGTCAACATTCCAGAGAAAGTAAGAGACTTTGATCATCCCCGCTAATCAGTAACCCCCTGCTGGTCGGCAGGTTTTAGTGCCAGTTGATAAGTGGATTACACCGGCATATTTTTTTCATGTTTTCATGTTATTCTTTTGGCAAAAACAAATATGTTGGACAACTTGATATCTTCTATTGTGATTTTTTTTCTCCAGTTATCGCATATTATTATTTTAAATATTGCATATTGTTATTATTCAAAATGTTGCATATTTATTTTTTAGAAATCACTCATTTAAACTTTTCTTTGATAGTCTGGTTGTCAATTTAAGAACTTTTTGAAAGTTAACTTCCAAAGGGAACTCTGATTTTAACTCAGTGGGGCGGCTGCTGTGCTAACGCTCCCATCTTCCAGACTGCTGATCAGCTGCTGGCTCGAGCTGATGCCGCCAAGGCCTTGGCTGAAGAAGCATCCAAGAAGGGGAAATCCACGTACCAGGAAGCCCAAGACATTCTAGGAAACCTGAGAGGTTAGCCCGTGTTATCAGAGAGTACAAAAACCAACATATCTAGGGCTAGGGCTTGAAAATAATGTTTATTTTTGATTTTCAATATCTTTAATCTTAAATCTTTAATTCTTGAATTCAGTCAATGTAATTAGTAGAGATGGGCCGATCCAGATTTTTTTCAGTTCCGATATTATTCCGATAGGATCAGATTCCAATTTAAGAGCTCTTTTTACTTTAATATGCTGATATAATGAGTATATAGCGTACACATTTATACATTAATATTTTTTAACTAGTAAATACAGATGAAAAAATATGTGCCATAAAATCTTTAATTAGACTATTAGAAACATGAATAACGTATTGTTCCATCTTGTTTTAAGCATTTTTGAGGCATTTGCAGTTCAATTTCAATGTCTTCCAGTTCAGGATACACAAGTGGCGAATGCTTCAAATTCCCTATAATTACATGCGGCTTTAGTTGGATTTACCACTAAACGCTACTCCAACCTCTCAAAACTGTTTTTACAAAGACTGCAAATCACTGTGATACTAGTTGTTAGAAGCATAAAATACTTCCAGACTGTCTCCCCCTTATCTGCTGTTTTTACGCTTCTCTTGCTGCAAAGGGTACAGTATGTGCATGACATCACAGCAGGCGGAAGTCTCAGACCCACTGAGAAGCAAAAAAACTGAGTGGCAGCGTTAGCGTTCAGCTTAAATGGCGCTGAAAAAACATATCTAAAATGTGAAATCGTGCGATTGATTGTACAAATAGCTCTAAATCTATTTTTAAATCTATTATTTAAATCTATCTTTTTAGAGACTAGCAAAAACTAAATAAGTATAGGACGTGGATCGGTCACATACAGCCGATACCCAATCCATCAAATAGGTCCGGATTGGCACTGGTACTGATCTGAATATCGGTTTGGTGCATCTCTAATAATTAGAGTAGATCTAGTCTGTATGTATAGGTCTGACATAATTCCTTACATTGTTAAAAAAATTTGCGGCATCAGCAACTTCAATTTATTTTAAATGGCGAAGCTGTAAAATTTGGAGCAAAACTCCCAAAAGTCACCTTTTCCATTGTTATTCTTTACCATCTAAGTGTATCTTAAATTGACTCAAAAAGTTTAAATTACACGTTTATTTATTATTTAGCAATGTGCTTTGTAGGGCCCCTGCCTTCCTTGGAAAAATATAAACCATGTATTATTTTTGTGTTTTCACTCTAAGAATAAACAATACATGATATTAACACAGGCTGCTCTGAAGAAACATTACCTTTTAACAATTAAGATTATGAAATGTAACCTTGCTTCCTACGATTTGAAATAATCTCTCTTTTTGGATTAATTCTTGAGGTGGAAAAAAATCCTAGATGGAATATTTTATACGGGTTTAAAAAAAATCTGGATTACGTGATAATTAATGGATTCGAACTTTTAAATGCCATAAGAAAGTCACCGTTCTGTGTGTGCTTTGTTTTCCTTTCTCCATGCGCAGATTTTGACAAACGAGTGAATGACAACAAGACGGCTGCAGAAGATGCCATGAAGAAGATCCCAGAGATTAATGCTACCATCGTTATGGCTGCTGAGAAGACGAGGCAGGCGGAGGGAGCGCTGGGTAATGCTGCTGCCGATGCCGCGGAGGCCAAGAACAAGGCAGAAGAAGCCGAGAAGATTGCCAATGCCGTTCAGAAGGTACATTTCACCATTGGGAAATACATGCAAGCAGTGATCTTGCTTTGTCGGTTTCATTCATTTGCAAGTTGACCATGAACAAGTAAACGGGAATGGTTTTTGGAGCTTTCTGAAAGATTGCAGAAACTCAAACACAACACCGAAGCAACAAATAATCCTTCATCTCATGTAGAATCATTTTTTTCATAAAGATTATCTTGTTTGGTTGCAACTAGCTTGGATAATTAATAGCATAACAAATTTTGGAAACACCATAGAGTAAGTTACCGAGTTACCAAAAACCCAGAATCATTTAGTTAGTTTGGGGAAAAACACATTTTTGCATCCTATGTTGAGGAAAACTTCTTAGCTGAACTATGAGCTCAGTCCTCAGGAAGTTCTCTGCTGATGTCTTGGCATTCCTATGTTCCAGAGTGCTGCAAAAACCAAACAGGAAGCAGAGAAGGCCTTTAATGACACCATGAAGTTAGACGACGAGGTCAACGATATGATGGCTAAGCTGTCGAATGCAGAGACGGAGCTAGCCAAGAGGACTTCAGACGCTGACCAGGACATGATGATGGCCAGCATGGTGAGTCTGCCTGCTAATCCTAACCATGCAAATATATCGCGAGGAAGTGGGATGAAGCTGAATGGTCAGGAAAATTCTAATGGATTATGGATCTTACCGGTCATATGGAAATAAGCACTAAGCATGTTTGACTTTGTTTGTGGCATTTGTTTTCTAGAAGCAATTAGAACCACAATTGACCTTTTTAAAAATTTTATAAAAACATGTAATTAAGGATATATTCATTTTCAGGGCAATTAGTTTTAAATACTGTAAACATTCATAAAGGTAAAGTATTAATAGAAAAAAATGGTTTGAAATGTTCATTGCATCATTTGATGTGAAATTCTTACCACACAACACATGGAATTGCATGAATTTATCTTTGGATGATATTTCTGTTTTTGCCATATTTGTCACTTTGAAAGTGTCACCATACTTCCCACTTCACAAGAACAGAAAGATCCGATTGGCTGCTTTGTACAACATATTTATGCACTTTGATTTATTTATTGTGTTTTTTAGGTGTCACCCATCCATGTTGAAACACATACAATTCAGCAGTTGCTAGCAAAACTTCTGTAAATGTTTATCTTTATACTAATGCATTACAAAATTCTAATGTATACTTTGGCAGCTTATTATCTTTGAGACTTGCACCTGAGAGCTAAACATTTTATACTGTTGTTTCAGTAATTTAGCAAATTTAATGACTTGAGAGAATGTTGGCAACTCTACATGTGACAGTTTCCTTTGCTTTAGCATAAATGTCTGTGTGGTCATTTTGCAGGCCTCTGATGCAGCTAAGGAGGCTGAGGACAATGCTCGCAAGGCGAAGAACGCTGTCAAGACAGCTTTGAATACAATAAATCTCCTCTTGAAGCAACTGGGTATGTACTGCATGACATTTGTGACTGGCGGTGCCTGTAATTGAATTTTGCCACATCAAATTCATTGAACAGATTTGATAGGTAATCAGGTCTAGTAACCTGGCTTTATAATTAGACCAATGAACACTTCCATCTGGGTTTAGGCAACATCGACAAAGTGGACCTGAGCAAACTGGACCAGATCGATGGATTGCTGAAGCGTGCCAAAGACCAGATGGACAATAGTGAGCTGGACCGCAAGCTTAAAGAGCTCAGTGATGTTGCCAAGAGCCAGGACACCATGATCTCTGACTATGACCAGCAGATCCGCGACATCAGGAAGGACATTGACAACCTAATGGACATAAAGAACACGCTACCGGCAGGGTGTTACAATACCGCTTCCTTGGAGCGGCCCTAACCTGGGTTCTCCCCTCTATGTACCTCTGCTCCTCACCTATAACACTGGCTAAGTGCCGTCTTTTACCAAAACTGCTTTTTTTTTTTTTGCTTAACAAAAAAAAAAAACATATCAATATTTTGGTTAAACCAGGATTTTATAACAAATAACTGCGACTCATATATGCAACAAGTTGCAGAAACAGAGCTGTTACCACAGTTACCGACTTTGCAGTTTGAGTGCAGCCGCTATTAGAGACAAAACGGTACCATCCGGGAAAAAAAAAACCCATATGACTGCAACGGCTTGTGTTTTTCCAGAAGTGCCTTAAGTGCAAGACGCAAGGACTCCTGTCAAATCCATGTGTCATTCAGAATAAGCTTAGGTGAAACAGACTTTTGGCAACTTGTGTTTCGTGTTTTTTTTGGGCGCAGCTAGTCATAGCTAATATTCAATACATAGTTTTTATTTGACCATGACATGAGAGTAACCTTGTCCAGCAGTGAATGAATCCCTGGTGAACTCAAACCACTTATTTTGTCTACTGTAGTGTACGCATGTATACATGAAAATGCAAAACCCATCAAGTAAATATATCGAAAGTGTGAAAAGGCACTTGTAAAATATCAGCTAACCTTATAGATGACCACCTTTGCTGCATAAGTACCCATTTCCTGCAACATACTCTGAATTCAACACTATGCAATATTGTACATGTGCGTAACAAGACTTTGATACACTGGTGCTAATAATTTCAAATGTTATATTTGTGTGTGTGTGTTTATTATAGTGTGAGAATGGGATTTTCGTGTAAATATATGCATTTATATGCGCAGGACTGACTACAGTGCATTAGCCTCCTCTTGTGGTCCCATCATTTACAAAAGCAACTGAAACTTGTACACACATGGTCCTAGCATTACAAAATAACTGTACCTGAAATCTACAGACACAGACCCACACACCTGTATAGGACAATGCTTGCTTGTATTCAAAGGTTTTGCTTGTTAATCGCAAACATGCCTTTACTTCCAATGGTTGCTTCCTTGAATGGAAGAGACCTGGCTTTTCTAAGCCATGTATTAAATACTGGTGTTAGTGTTAACAATGTAAAGATACCTACTTGTGTTGAACGCATGAAGGAACAAGTTGCAGAAAGACCAGCAAATCCTCTGATGCCAGTCATGCCTCCTCTGTATTTGCAAAGCACGCCATTGTGGAAAGAATGTCACACATACTATTTTATGTATAAAACAGTTCTTATTTATATCAAGTATTTAATCATTTATTAGTTTTTAAGTTAGTATTTTTATTTTCAAATCCCTACATGCCACGGTGACATTTTTTTTTAAAAGATCTGACAATTCCTGTTCATATACTGCCTGTAAATCAAATTGTTCCAATTAAATTGTTGCTACGAAAACAAGAAACTGTGTCCAATTTTGTAAATATGGTTCCCTTCCAAAAACTGGATAGTTCGCAAATTAGTTTAGCAAAGCTTTTGGGTAACATGTCACATGAATGGTATATAAACTATTTGTCATGCAGTAACTAGCTAGAAGGATGCAGGATTAGTACTGAGTTTCCCCTGCTCTTTCCTTGATCTTAAAAATGAGTGATCTAACTTTCTGATATTAGTTGTTCTAATATGGTAATACATGATGACTTATTCTCAAAATATAAACTGCCATAATTGTTGCTTTCCCATTATTCTGCTAAGCACATGATGAGAAGTAAATGTGTGTTTGCTTTTTGTGCCCAAGAACTGTGTTGCAAACTGTTCCAGTTTTTGAAATAGTTCAGTTTTCTGCCTGACATGGATTTACTGGCCAATAACTTAAGTCAAATCCATGTAAGGGTTCTGGTGACCCTAGTCCAGAGGAGATGTTCTGAGAGGAAGGGTCCAATTCTATTCATGAAGGTAAGCGGGAATGTGAGAAAAGCAAATTGGCCCAGTGGATGTCTGACAGAAAAGCTGGAACTAAGTGGTGAAACGGCTTGTTTGGATACCCAAGCTACTATATGTCATGAGCTATGTGTAATAACTGAAAAAACAAAGTCACAAGTATAAGACGCTGAAATGAGGTTCCTCAGCAGGATGGTCTGACACACTTTTAGTGAGTGGTTTTCGGAAGGACCTCCAAATAGAGCTGCTGCTCTTTTAGTTGTGAGGAGTCATCTGAGGTGATTTGGACATCTTATAAGGATGCCGCATACTTGCCACCCAAGGCAGCTATTCTGGGCGGGTCTCACTGGGTGAAATCCCTGGGGAACAGCCAGGAGGCACTGGAGGGATACTATCTCTTAGTTGGCTTAGGAGCATTTGGGGAACAGGAACAAGGTACAGTCTGTGGCCCCGGCAAAAGAGGTCTGGTCTGTCTACTCAGCATGCTGCTCCTATGACTTCCTCAGGAAAAGCAGAATGAAGAAAAGAATCAGTCCATCCTTATTAAGCCTCCATTTTTCTTCAATAAACATTTTAACTTGAGTTTTGAAATCAGGGTAATTAAAATTATTCTTCATGCTAATCAGAGGGACTAATTTCACTGCTGCAATCAATAAATGTGTATTAAAACCTAAATAAAGCATCCATTGGTGAAAATAAAACATGTTAAAATGTACAAAACATTAGCAAAGAATTAAGTTATCGATGGCTTGAGTATAGACCCTTCCAATGTATTTATTTTAATAGATGCATAACATCTAATGATGCAACTGCATTAAGATGTTGGTTGAAGAAGAAAAAAACTAAAGAACCAAAGCTGTCTTTCATTTTGTGATGCTGGAGTGACTCCGAGAAAGGTTTTCATGTAAAATCTATGGAATAAACTAAAGTATAGAGTAGATTAAATCAAAACAACTGACAAAAGAACCAGATGCTTGTGATGACAACACAACTCAAGCTTTCGGGCAGGTGCACAAGAGATTCTGAATGAACTAATGAGTTTGTATTGACCATAATTTATATAGAGATTAGTTATCTCGCCATCAGAGAATTTCATCAACATTACACATTCCCAAATATCAAACGGATGGAATCCTAGGTACAGCAGAATATATGGCCAGTGGATTTCTCGTTTTATAGCACCCTTATATTAAGAGGCGCTGTCTGAACAAACTTATGTTGGAGGTACTTACTAAAAACGAGTCGCTCATATTAAAACCACTTTGCGTTTGTTTTTGTGAAATACGGATTAACTAAACGTCATTAATCATAATTTTTTAATTAAATTTGAAATCACTGTAAATTATTTAAAATAACTAAAATTTGTTCTTAAATCATGGCCATGTACTTAAACCAAAATAATCACTCCGAAAGCAGATAGACAACACAAAAAATAAACAATAAGAAATCAATTAAATAGCTACATTGTTATTGGCAAAGATGAAATACTGAAAATTTGTAGTTACGGGGGGCTATTCTTGTTCACCATTATTCTACATACCCAATCACCTATCTGCCATCTTGCTTTTTTCAGTTGCTTTCGAAATGACTGATGGGAATTCGCACCCAGAGCACTTCCGGGTTCGTGTTGTCCATGCGCCCTAGGCGACTAAACGTATAAGTTTCTCGGGAAGAGCCTGTTAGTTCGACATATTACATTCATTCCTATTTACAACACAAGTTGGATGTTTATTATGCTGCCCAAATTTTACCCAATGCTCAGTTAAAGCTCAATAAACAGATTCGTTTCGAATGAACCTCATTTTGAATGGTGAATATTTTTTTATGATTAATGGTGATTTCTGCCCGTGGATTAACGCCACCGACATAATTAACAACAATCTACTCATCTTCATCCTACAAAATCATCCCCCACCTTGTCTACCAGCTACCAGAAGGAAGAAAGGTCGCCATGTTGGCTCGCGTGTGAGCTGAAAGGTACCACTTTAGAACCAAAATGACGCCTGTTTCACAAAGCCGGGGGCCGTGCGGCCGAGCGGAGGCCGATTAGCTGGCACGCTCAGCGGCGAATGATTTTTTTTCCCCACCACAAGAAATCGCCGACGACGTTTTTTAACGTAGTAGTTTTTACCTTTGACCATCATGGTGTAACGCGTTAAGTTGACAAGCTATGTTGTTTTCTGAGACCCACCGTCGCTGCGGAGGTGTAAAATAACTGTCATATCCCTAGTTAATTATCCTTCCGGCAATCTAACCGACACCAAGCTCTTTAATTTCCTAGTGTTTTATAGGGTTTTGTACTCGGCCGATCCGGGTCGTCCATGCTAGCAGGCTAAGCCAGTTAGCTTGCCTGACGGCTACCGTGGTGACCGACTGGGGAACAATATGGCGCCAGAAATCACTTCGGTTTCTCCCGACACAGAGCTCGTTTAAAGCCCGAAGACCGAGCAGGATGAACCTTTGCGTCCAATATTTGAGGTAAGCGCCTGTCTTTTAAACCCAGATAAAACTCCCCTGCTAAACATTTCAGTTTCAGCCCGGCGCGGGTTATGTGGAGGTCTGCTTGAAAGTGGCCGCAGTGTTGTCTCTGGGCGCTCGGTTTGTGCTAAGCTAACTAGTTAATTAGTTGGCACGGTTCTCGTTTTAGATCACCACCACAACTTCTTGACAGTCGGATTTAATTTGTGGTTTTATTGATAAGCGAAAGACCAGTCGTCGTATACCCATTTTATTAGTTTCGCTGGCTGCGCTTTGATCATCGTATACATCTTACAAGCGTATATATCACAGTGTTGTTATAAATACACCGGTGTTAAGATCACGGCTTGCTAGGCAGATTCCCAGGCTCTGTAGATGCTTATAATCGACTAAATGTGCTAGATATAAGTATATGGACTTTTTTGCACGGTTAGGCAGTGGTATCTGGGTATACAGATGCTCTTGTTCATAGCACCAAATCTGACATCAACCTTAAAATGTGGCTAGTTAAATGTGCCCAAATTCATTCGAGAAGGTGGACCTATTGCGGAAATTCCAGGCTTGCTGGTTAGTAATGTAATTATAAAAAGTAAAATAAATTTTATATCCATATAACATCCAATTCCGGATCGGTCATTAATAGATCTAATACTTAACGTGAGAATAGCAAATAGTCCATCTATCACTAAAATGGCTGATGTTTTGTATGAAATGTTGCCAGGTGTGTTCACAATTGCCTGCATGAACTGGCTAACTCCAGTATATCCTAACCTCAACTGGTTCTGCATATTGTTCTTTTATCCTGTATGCCGTTCATTCGGTGCACAGGGCAATACGCATCCTGTAGCAATTGTATATCAGATGGCGATGTAAAATGTGTTAGCATCACAATGAAAGGGAAATCGGTGTGGGTTTCTAAACCAGCCGATTGGTACGAAGTGATCTGACCACGTTTTTAAACAAAAAATGGTGATGTAGGAAATAAATAAAAAGGGTTAATCACGCCCCCACAGAGCTGCACAAGGCAGTATGGACACTCGTGGGCACTATGGCGTGTTCCTACACTAACTTTTTCCCATGTGCTTTGCCAAATAGCGAGTTTCTTTTTGTGTATGTTGATTTTTATTTATTTATTTATTTCTTTGGGGGGTGGTTGTGGTGTAACACACAGGCCAAGTTAGATCCTTTGCTTTTTAGGAATTGTTCAGTTGTTGAGACCGTTTCCAAATTAACGTGTAATATTAGATAAAGGCTGTATTATTGTATGATTGACTTGAATTTGGTATTGATCAGGTTTTAGGTTGTCCCTTTATAGATGAATATTTGTCATTAGTTACCGGTTAGCTAGTTTTTGTATGTACATACAGCTTTCACATGGGCGATCTGTGTATACATTTTTACGGCATTACGGACGATAACACCAATCTGATCTAACAGGAAAATCATGTTCCCGATGTGTTAATTCAACTGCGCGGAAACTGGGGGCTTTATTTTAGATATTTAGATGCTATTTTTTGTGTGATTTTTATTTGCATGTGTGTTATGACTACAAGTCGGTCATTTCAGTCGCGTAATTCCGTTTTAGGGATTTTAGTAAAATGGGATGAGCACAAGCGCCTCTAGTAATTTAGTATGGTTCAGAGTCGTTGTAATACTTGGTACCAGTCTCCAGTAAATGAGGGATAACGCATTTTTCACATTATCGGTAATATTATTTGGGGGATGGGCATGCACCTTTTTTGCGATGTGGTAATATATATGTCAAGATATGAACTTTGGCCTTTGTTTACTCCAAATGTCTTCAGGGGTGGTCTGGTTTAAAAATTAAACGAGTTACAAATGTTTATTTAATATGTAACTTGATCAGTTTTTTCCCTTCTCCGTGATGTAATGCACGCTTTTATTCTTTCAATGACTGAGTCATGTTCATATATTTTTTTTCTCATGCTTTACACGTGAGCACTTTGTATTGCTGTTTTAGTGACCTGTCTTGCAGTATTGCATGAAAAATATGACTGCAAAGTTCATATATGTGGAATATT